ACACACACACACACACACACACGCACACACACACACACACACGCAGCACACACGCAGCACACACGCACACACACACGCAGCACACATCCACAACACACATACACAACACCCATCATCATCCATCCTCCATCATCACCAACCAACCGAGCGAACCCAAAAATGCCCACTACACTTTATCGTGAATCTAGTATTGCTGACTCATCATCACGTCACAAAGCAAAACACAAAAACCGGTTTGCTTTTGTTTTGCTGAACGCGTGGCGCACTGGTGGATACGCCATGGCATTGCATAACTATTTTTGGGTGTGTCTTCTGCGAGCAACGCGAACGTTCGCGCTTCTCCTCTCTTTCTTGCGTCTTCTTCTTTGCTTGCCTTTTTTTTCTCTCTTGTGCGCCTTTCTCTCCTGCTTCACGCAGCCTCTGCGCACCTGTCATTTTCCTCACCAACCCTTTAACCCCAAACCTCACACAGCTCGCCTGCTTGCGTTGTTCGTCGCTGTCGTTGGTGAGCCTCTGACAACTTGCGCGTCCTTGCTTGACATCACAACCCACACCTGCACCAAGTTGCAGCCCACACCCCACACCCCATACACAACATCCATCCGTCCATCAAGCAACGCAAAACACACCCACCATCGCCTTCTTCTCCTGTTTCAAACCTCCTTTTTTGTTCTCCTCACTTCTCTGTCCTCTCTGTTGCTTGTGTTTCTGTGCATGAGCAAACCTTGTCATCAATTACTTTTGCTTGCTCTGTCGTCGTCGTCGCCCTTGCTCATCAAGATCTTCTTCACTTCTCTCTCTCTCTCTCTATCCTTCTTCACAACAACCATCTCTCCCGCTTCCCACCACGACAACACACACACACACCACCCATTTTCCACACCACGATCACTTTGTTGATCGCGAACACCAATCCCAACACCAACGCCAAAGCAAACCACCACCCACCATGTCGTCTTCTTCGTACCATGTGTCCCACTCATCACCAATGCACAACACTGACGATTGGTGGTGTTCCTCTGCACAACAGCGACTGGAACGCAGTGCCCGCCCATGCGCGGCCGTGAAGCTGGAATATCAAGAGGTGGAAGAGAAAGGAGTGGATGCTCCGGCATTGTCATCGCCAACCCCGTCTTCAGCCACAACCATGATGACGGCGGCTTACAACAACAACAACAACAACAACAACAAGCAGCACAAGGCCTCGGCCGCGCTTGCCTTTGATGACTACAGCAACAACGACAACGACAGAGCCGTTTCTCCGGACCTGGCGTTGTCCAGCTCCGGCCTGTCTCCGTCCACGTTTGCTGACGACGCGTCGCCTCCACATGCCCCCTTTGGTGACAACAACAACAACGCTGGCGATGACAGGACGATGTGCATGCCGCTGCGCCAAACCGCCAAGCAGCAGCAGCAGCCACAGCCATCTCCCCACCACCTCCTCTTCCCCGTCTCTGCCGCCAATGCCCATGATGACTCGGGATTGGCGTGCAACGACAGCCTCTTGATGGATGATGGTGCTCGCTACACCTCCTCCACCTCCACCTCCAATTCCACGGCCCCGCTCTCTGGGCAAGTGCACAGCGCTTCTCGTGTTCCTCCGCCACAAGGTACAGCAGCTTCCACCACCATCATGGATGACGGTGTGTTGCGTGGCGCGCTCGTTCCCTTACCGCTTTCCACCACCCCTGCTTCCTCCTCCTCCTCCTCTTCCTCCCATTGTACACGCAACGCTGTCATTGACGCTACTGCACACCACCACCACCACCACCATTCTTCCCCCTCTTTCGCCTTTGCGTCTCCCCCGTGCTCTCCGTCAATGTCGTCGTCGTCGTCATCGGGCTTTGTGTCGTCGTTGACGCCGCCTCCATCGCCCACGCCACCCTTTTTCTTGGCCGATGATGACGACGTGCTTGCGTCGTTCGACCTTGACACCGTCATGCGTGGCGTTGCGTTTGACAACGTCAACGACACCATTGTTGCCGATGGCGTTGCCCCCTCTTCACTTTGTCATTCCCCTTTCTCCTCCTCCTCCTCGTCCTTCCTTCCCACTCATCTTTCTTCTCCCCCGCACCACGACGCCACTCCATTCACAGCAGAGATGCACAAGAGTACCAACAACAACAACAACAACAGCCGCAGCAGCACCAGGATGACACGTTCCCTGATGTTTGCTGGGCACCCTGACGGTGCCCGCTTGGTTGGTCTCTTTGATACCCGTGAAGCGTCCCAGTGCTTTCACGGCGTCCCCGGACACGACCTCGAGTCCGACCCCGCGTCTGGCTCGCTGCTGTCGCTGTCCCCCTCTCCAACCGCCTCCACAGCGGACCACATGAGTGGCTTCTTCTCCTTCCCTGCCTCACCGTACGAGGGTAGCAACCAGCCGCGCGTCGATGGCTTTCTCCACGACGACAACTACGAAGACAACTTTGATGATGGCCTCAACCTCTTTGAAGACAACGATCAAGAGGAGCTGCCCACCAAGCGCGCCAAGACAGAGCCGTCGATGGTGACCCGCTCCAAGGTGCGCCGCCAGCAGCAGCACAAGCAACAGACCAAGAAGACCCGGGACGCCGCTGCTCCTGGTTCGCCCTCCTCCTCATCCTCCTCCAGCCGCGCGTCTCCTGCCTCAACCTGGACGTCATCCACCACCACAACAACGCAATCGCAATCGACCCGCTCGTCGGTGTACGATCGCCAGGCCGTGACGGGGCCCTCCACCCCAGCCAGCGGCAGTGGTGGCAGTACCAACGCCAACGCTAACGAGGACGACAACGACGAGGCTCTGGACCTCTCGCTGATGCACGCGGACATCCGCAAGATGCTTGAGAAGAGCAAGGCGGAGGGCCGCGAGCTGACGGCGAGCGAGCGCAAGGCCGTGCGCAACGAGAAGGCGCGCATCCGCTCCAAGCGCAACCGCCTCAAGCGCAAGAAGGAGGCCAACAACATGCGCATGCGCGTGTCGCACCTGGAGAGCGAGAACCGGCAGCTGCACAGCAAGAACTGCCAGCTGGAAGGCGAGAACCACCGCCTCAACGCCCTCGTCGCCCAGCTCCAAGAGCAGCTCAAGCAGCAGCAGCATCAGCAGCGCTAAACGACACGACCCCATCACACACGGCCGCTATAGCAAACAACACGTAAATGCAATTTCGCTTCACGATAACGACAACAGCCGCCATCACACGGAGACCGGGATATACGATACAGGATGAACAAGGAGGGGATGTGACGTGTACTGCTCAGAGAGCGCCAGAGACATCGTCCCTGTCCTCTCCTTTTTTTTTTTCCCCACCCCCGTTCTCTGTCTGTCTTTCTCGATCCACGCCAGCAAACACATGCATGATATCTGTGGTTTGGCCTATCTACTTGACCTTTCTGAAAGCCCCGAAAACGACAACACTCGTTTCCTTGCTTTTCCCCCAAATTGTCCATGCCATCCCCTTTGATTCGATTAGGCGATTCCACTCGCAGACAACAGCAGGCACATGCCTTGCTGATGATGCTTCTGCCCTCTTATGCTATTTGACACTTTTTTTTTTTCGCACCTATGTGTGCACAGGTTGCACGACACAGTTTTTGTGTGTTGATCCACGCTCCCAAACCATCATGATTTATGTTTGTGGTGGCGATGGTGCATCTCTACGGCTTCCCCTCTTTCTTTCTTTCTTTCTTTCTTTTTTTTTTTCCTGTTTGCCCTGTTGCTTCCTTTCTTCCTTCCTCTTCCATGCTTGTCGCTTGTTCTTGGCGGTTTCCCCGCCAACGCTCGTGTACATACAGATGACATGTTGCTCGCGTCTATCAAATAAACACAGCGCAAAGCAGTTTTATTGTAAAGTGTGAACCCTAAACACGATGGTGATGAGGCCTGAACGCGTTCGTTAAACGACACTCAGGATGATCGTGATTTGTCTGTTTGCGTGTGTTGTGTTGAGCTGTGAACACTGCACGAACCTGCGACAAGACACACACACACACACACACACACACACACACACACACACACACACACACACACACACACACACACACACACACACACACAAACTTCTCTAGAGGTTGAAGAGGCCTGCTCTTCGCAAGATGACAAAGGCGATGAGGAAGAGGACAACGAGGATGATGACAGTGACAATGATGACGCCGTTAAACCACAGCTGCGACTGCTCGTGCCCATTTGTCAGATTCATGCCTGCACGTGCACGTGGTGGTGGTGTGTTGGAAAAGGAGAGTGTGTGAATAGAGGAGGGACCGAGGGAATTGCAATGACAGAGACAGGCACACACACACACACACACACACACACACACACACACACACACACACACACACACACACACACACACACACACACACACACGACACACACACACACACACACACACACACACACACACACACACACCGTGTTTGTAACCGCCCAGACTATTATATGAAATGATCGGGGTTAAAGAGGGGGCCTACGGCGTCATAGCGATGTAGTGTCACTGGACGGTCTCAAGTAAATATCTTTGCGTCTTACTCACCCCGCCAAGAACATGTTCCAACGTAGCTTCCAGGTTTTTCATGAGAACGCGGGACGGGGCTTGCCCAAATGAGACCCCGTGACCAGTGCCAAAGGCTGGTGAAAACCCGAAAACCCACTCGTCTCTAAGGAAGAATCGATGCTGGCTGGTTAGCTAAAAGGAGCATACCAATCACACCGTAGTGTT